GTGTGTGTGTGTGTGTGTATGGTCGTGTGTGTGTGTGTGTGTGTGTGTGTATGTATATGGATATATATACATGCGTAAGTGCATATGTTTCCATTTTTGTGTATACGTATACACACGTGTATAAAAAAATCAAGCTCATATAACGACACAGAGCTCACGCACACACGTTAGCGCGCAATATTAAGTATATATTGGCAAATCGGAAAACAATTACATGCGAACGTCATATGCGCATACCTTACACACCACAGCGTACTCATCTTCGACGTAATCGTACGTCAAAGGCTTCGGCGATGGTGCTACCGTACTCGTACTCAATACCTGACCCAGAGGTATAGGTATTGCACTTCCATTACTCGCACCCGTCGCACTCGATTGCACTCCAACCGTCGTACTCGATATTTTTACTTCATCCGTGGCGCTTTGTTGCGCTACTACCGTCTGTGCTACCGTACTTGTTTGCGTAGCTGTTTGTTCTTGCGCTACTGAAATCGCTACTATCGTCTGTGGTACCGTGCTTGTTTGCGTAGTTGTTTGTTCTTGCTCTACTACTGACAGTGTATCAACTCGCTCGACGACGATACTTTGAGTAGTCGATCCTTGTACAGTGGCGAACGGCGTAAATTGTGAAGGTGCTGCATCTTCCGATCTCCTCTGCCGAAGAGGGTGTTCTACATTTGCATCTAAACCATGCACTTGCTTATGATGTTGGGGAGCAATCCCCGCACTCACAGGCGCGATGCCAGCTAGGTTGATGAAGATAAAAATACACAGAACATACTCTACTAGGCTGAAAGACCTCATTGATATATGCACTCGTGAGCTATGAGTGCGCGTGAGTTCACCGCATTGCGCGTGGGAAGAAATTTGCCTTGAAGAAGTCGCTAACGATTTACAAAGGAGTTTTGTGTCAGACGTACCTATACACATGCTATATTCGATGAAGCTGCCATATGGTCAGCTCTTGTTCTATCCGTATTAATACAAAAAGTGAACGTGTATCTACAAAATTGCCGTGGTGACCGTACCGATTGAAATATATACAACCTTCCAAATTGATAATTGCAGCAGTGTTATGATCTATGCTTGTTGTATTCCGTTTGCATAGGCTACCAGTGGTCAGATTTCTATTACACAGTATGTGCATATGTCACCTCTCTCTTTGCTCTACAGGCTATCGAAATATACATATACATATCACCCTCACAATATCACATCCACAATAGATAAACTAATTTTTTTTTGAAAATACGTCAAATCAATCTCACAATATTTAGAAGCCCCTTAAGACAGTCGACGGGAGTCCGATGAGTCGCCGGCCAGTGACAAATTCAGTCTTCAGGGGGTTTTTATGCTGTAAACCATGGTGATAGAAGTTAAACCTGCGTTTTTTGGACCCTTGTCAATATTTGAGATGGCTGATGAACACTCATCAAGAAGTAGACAGACAGACAGACAGACACCCACCCCCAGTCCACCACAAGAAGCTTTTAATGAATCAATGATATTCACCATGGGCGTGAACTATGGAGCTTTATATTATTACCCAAAAACCTGGAAAAAAAATTGAAACAAAAACATTATATCCAAAAAAGAAACATACGCAAACTGAGTAAATAATTTATATGCTCATTCTTTGTGGCTATCTATTCGAGCTCGCTCTGAAAAGTTAGAGTCGTGCGTGAAAGTTTAAAAAAAACTGACCATTTATTGGAATTCGGAACAGGAAAAATCTAAAATTTCACGCGCACAAAGTAAAATATTCTTCTGGCAAACCGGAAAGGCGTAAACCCGAAAGGACGGAAGCCCGAACTTTCGAAGCCAAAACCCTCTGCGATTCTGCAGTCTGCGACTCTGCGTGCGACTTTATTTCATTATTTAGCAATTTTTAGATTGTAAATATGTATGTGTATATGAGTATATCAGAGTATGTAATAAAATACTATTTTTTTAGTATTTATTTTATAATTTTTTAAATTTGGCTTTTTGGTTTTGGTTTCTGTTTTTGTTCTTCGTTATGTTTTAGATAAAGTTTTAAAAAAAAACATCTAGATTCTAGAACCCACAGTGAGCAACAGCATTACGTTGTGGTGGTACAACGAATAGACATATAAAGCTTAACGTAAACGTATATTCGATCTAATGCTTTTTTTAAAGAAAATTACGTTCTCATAAAAAGTTGTACAGGACCGGTTTTAGCCTATTAACACTGGACCTCTGGCGGCCTGGCCCCTGCCCCATCAATTTCGGGTGGCGCCTCGGCCTGCATATATATATTTTTTAAGTTCAACCCGTTTTTTAAAAACGTAAACTCGTATAGTCTGATTGGCTCGCTGTTGATGCATTTGGTGGCTTGCAATTATCTGTAGACAAGCAGTAACCGATCGAATTCGATACAAACCCCTCACCACGATGCTCGCAATTATCTATAGACCAGCAGTAACCGATCGAATTCGATCCAAACCCCTCACCACGATGCACACCACAAAAGGCATGCATATTACGGTCGCAACCAGTATATTTGTGAGCACCTGATGTCGGTTGCGTGATCGTGCACCCTTGCACGCAACAGCGACATAAGCTAGAAGTATCCTCCATGAAGAAGAAGTAAGTCATGGTGGCGCGTATTCACTGTGTGTAGAGTGTAGACTACACATATGTACATATACAATACTTTTGTATGAAGTCTCACTGAGATTGTACCCGTGGCCGACCCATAGGAAGTATTGATGATGAGTATAATTTTAAACCGAGAGCTAATTTAAAAATTAGTTCCAGACTTCCAGGGCCCCATAAAGGGGCCAGCTCTGGGGGTCGGCCCAAATGAAAAGTGGACATATATAGAGGTAGACACTTCAAGAGGTAGACATATAAAGAGGTATGACTGTAATGGCCTATGAAAGGCATACTGGCACAGTGTTTGCTTGTTGTTGTTTTTTAAATTATGGACCAACAATGGAACAAACAGGTGTAGCCGTTATTTATTTATAGTCAAGACCTGGGGCTGGAGGAGTTAAATAGAGGACACAAGTACTCAAGGCACGGTCAGCTTTTTTTTTTCCTTGACAGTGGTTTTGTTTTTACAAAATATACTATTTACGTTTTGCCGTAAATAACGAGCCAAATAAAGTTGTGACGTAAATATTGACAACTCTACAATCTACTGGCGAGGATGCTTTTTCAATGACCAAAAATCAAAATCCTATTGGCCTTCGGACCATGTATATGTCTTTCAGCATTAAAAAAAACCAGCAAACAACAAATACAAAAATATATACTGCGTTGTGTAAATATTCTGTTTGCAATATAGCTGTAATTTACTATACGTTAGTTTGCATATAGGTGAGAATAAAGATGGAAAAATCTGCACGCACGGCTGGCGGTAATATCATCAAGGGCCTCAATAAAGAGGGTTCGGGGGGTGCGCACAACAAAGGCAAGAGAAGGCGTCAATTAACAGCTAAGAAGAAAAGCAGGAACCGATCGATAGTGTGTTCGAGAAGACTTCAAAATCAGCAACAGTGGAAGAGGATGTGAATAGGCTTATTGCTAATGTAGAGAGTAGTACCACTACAAAAGCGCATGATACACACGCACAATGGACTAACTCCTCCCAAAATTCTAAGATCCTGCCTACATGTGTACCACATGCATGCACATATACGGATGGAGACGAAATTGAACAAATTTCCACTCGTATACACAACCATGACATACATGTAACCACCCAATAACAATACGCAAACTGTACCGATTTTAATAAGACCAACGAGCGAACCAAAAGGTGTTGATGTGGTAAACCCCACTTCAATAGCAAATACTGTTACGAATAGCAACTTGACTGTAACTGATGTAGATATAGAAAGTAACAGACATAGCTGCACTAACCACTGGCACAATAGATATGAATACCCAAGACAACACAAACCGAGCCCAAGCAATATTTGAACACTCTGTACGCGGTCGACTGTTACTGCAGTAGTAGAACATCAGGAGGCAGCTGTACTTCAGCCACCAATGCCAGCAGACACACCAGGTAACAAATATCTTAGCCCCGGGACAGCACACTGCATTCATTACCCCAAACGGCTCTGCCTGCAAATAGTGGCAGACTACAGTCAATACCTTATGAATTCACTGACGATGACGACGCAATAACATGGTGGAGTATGCGGGCGCAACGATTAACAGCATTAGAATCATGTCTTCTTGCGATTATAATCTCTGTAGTCGGAATACGACTTGTGCCTATATTAAGCGCACTAGAACCATCGGGGTTATTTACCTCGTACGTTCCACTTTTAGTGTCTGCTACAGAGATTACATATGGACCTATCCATTTAAATGTTAATACAGTAGCATCGGAATTACGTTGACGAATGTTAACTCTGTCACCAACCTGATACTCAGCTATCTTCTTGGTAGTGTTCCAACGCTTTTTCCTTTTTAATACGGCTTTATTGCATATTTCTCGCAAACAAGGATATACAACGTTATAAATACGTCGTACCTTCTCTAACCAAGGTAACTCATGGTGATCAGATTCGTCCTTGTTAAAGGGGATTTGTAACGCACTATATCTGCCACGAAAATAGTGAGCAGGTGTAGTTCCTGTAACCGAATCAGCACACTCGTTCATCTGTGTTTGTACCCACTTAAGGTGGTACGGCCAATCATCTGTATCATCCGTTAATGCAGTACGCAAGAAGAACTTATATCTTCTATAGCGTGTTTCATTCGCGCCTTGCGTTTGCGGCTTATATGGCACACCTATCTTATGGCATATGCCTGATACAAGTACTAGCGATTCCATAACGTCATCGCAGAAATTACTACCGTTACCAGTGCACATAATACCCGGCCACCCGTGGTCAACAAAGACTTGGAAATATCATTCTGCCACGGTCTGCGTATTCTTATCCTTTAATGGATATAGCAAGTTAAACCGTGACGCCACATCAAAGAAGTGGCATACGTAACTGTCGCCTGTGTGCTCGGACGTGGGCAGGTCAACCAGATCAATTATGACCCTGCGCCATGGAACATCTTCAGTCACACTCTTAAGCGGTGCGCACTCATAGCGCTTGATCTGATTGAGATCACAGTCTGTACATGACTGATATACTCTGTCAACTAAAGTTGCCAGCTTAGGGTGCGCGATCCCATTTCGCTTAGCTCCTTTAAGTGCGTCTACTACGTTCTGGTGCTTCAGCTTATGATTTTGCGTCAGCCAAGCAAGAATGTTTTTATCATTCTGCTCCTCCAGAATAAAGGTAGGGTATTGAGAATCCACTTGCGTGGTCTCTAAGTCTGTAGTGTTTCCAGACGCCTGTCCTGCTTTTGCATGAGTGTCATAAGTGCGCTCATGTGCGTTAGATACACCTGACTTATTAAATAGTCGCATTATATGTGTATACGCTTCAGGATTGTCTTTCATTAACTCCTTTAGAAATAGGGTTGAAAGACCTCGGGCTTGGACTTTATGTTCTAAACAGAGTCTTAGCTAGAGACTGACGCTTCTTAACAGTAGTGTCATTAGTAGATTGTATTTCTTGTCCACCGACTTCAAGTGCTGTGTTGCCTTTGAACTACTTAACGTTCAATTGGGTAGAGAGTGGAAATTCTTTGACCTTGTTAAGGAAGGGCTCAGAAGAGGTCCATTTGGTTGTTCCAATGGGACCTATACGACATATTATAGTATGTCTCCAGGGCGTCTTCTGAACAGCTCGGGTACCCTGATATAGGAAAGTATCTACTTCCCTATCTAAATATATTGGCTCGCATTGTATCATGCCTATTAATTTACTGAGCCATGAATCTTTACTCCGTGATGGGCAGCACAACGTAATGGTAGTTTTATGTATATAAAAATATATTTAATAGCTGGGCAATTAACTGCCATGGTGGATTAGCCCACGCATTATGTTTGGAGAGGTCTATTTGAAAGGTGTCTCCCACAGGATGATTTAAAGTCCTGCAGTTCGATAGTTGTGCATTATGATGTGTCGCAAACATATCTATGGTATGTGGCCCAAATATATTTTGAGCCAGTTCAAACCACCTGGGATTACATTTCCAGTCAGTGGCTAGTAGCCACGAAGCGAGATAACATATCCGGTAAATGCTTATGTATTCCTGGCATATGTTTTACATT